ACGATGTAGTTGCGCGAAATAGACGAGACAATAGTCGATTATGTCTTCAAACAGCGAAGACAACACTTATTAGCAAAAGTGTCTGCTGCATGGCACCTAAAATATTTAATAAAATACCTAAGACTTGGAGGGATTTGAGTATGTCATTATTAAAAAACAAACTAAGAAAACTTTTAGTAGACAAAGCATATTATAATGTTGCAGACTTTTTAATGGAGAATCAACTGGATAATTAGTTTTTAATTACATTTAAGGACATTTCAACTATTATTTCTTTGACATTTTAACATTTGACATTGTTTAAGTAATTGCTATTTTGACTTTTGTTTATGGACTGTAACTATTCAATTTATAAAGCAGTAAGTTTAAGTTTTAGGATGACATGTTTATAATTTGTAACATTTTAAATTAATTTTTGCATGCCTACTGGTAAAATATGGCTGAGCTCGCATTGTACCTAACCTAACACCACAAATATTATTGTACTACCCATATTTGCAAAATAAACTATCTCTTTATCTTTCTCTTTATCTCTTTAGAAATCTACTAAATAAATTTATTTTCCAAGTAAACTTAAATAATTATAAACATGAAGCATAAAGGCTCACCCCCTATTACATGGAACTCATAACATGAATAGTGGAAAGTGTTACATTGTTCGGTGGCATTAAGTGCTGTAATGTGCACCTCTGCCTACCCCTCCGGGGATAAAAGGCGTAATGTTATGTTATGAAGAACAAAATATCTTCTATTTTGTATTCAAAACAATATGATGTACAATGTATGTAATGCACCCACTATGCAGGTGAATTTCTAAGCATGAAGCTATTTTCTAAATAATAGCTATATTTTATAACTTTAAAATATACCAAATCCTATCTATGAACTAAACCCAGTATTTCATGTTCAACTAACATAGACAGCTTGTATTTATTTGCCTACAAAATACATAAAATCCTATCGTTTCTCGTCTAGTTTACTATTAAAATCTCCTATAAAACCTGCATAAATTAAAATGACATTAAAATTTAATCCAACTACCAAATGCTATAAAATAAATAAAGAAACGTCTCAACGAAATATTAATCAAATTCGTGTTAAACATTTTAGGAATGAACTAAAACTATGTTCCGAAGATGACATCAATCTATCAAGAACTTGATGTTGGTACGTACGGTTACTCATCAAACTACACATAACCACTTTATCTTGACCTCACTTTATATAATCTTTTAATATATTTGGCGGTCAGATTATACTGGTTTATATTAGCTTGATGTGTGTCCTAATATTCTTTGGATCAACGGAAATATATGTCTCTAATAAATTAAATGATTTACATGTTAGCAGTTAAATTGTGTACATAAAAATGTCCATTCCAGGTGGTTTGCCTCATTATGGGGCGTTTTAGAATGTCTCTTCCATGTATAGTGTGTTACCGTTTTCATTTATTTTTTTATTCATTTATTTATATGAATATTTCATCAATATCAACAGCCTATAAATGCTCACTGCTGAGCAAAGCCTCTTCGCACACGGTGAAGGTTTGAGCATTAATCACCACGCTTGCTTAATGCGGGTTGGCAATTACAAATTTATAATTAGAAATTATAAGCCCAGGTTTTCTCACGATGTTTTCCTTCACCGTTATAATATGAATATTTACAAGAACTTAAAAAACAAAAAGAAATAGTTTTAGATGGAATTTATGAAAATAGTGTGATAAAGAAAACGTTTTAGTGATATCATGTTTCTTGAATGTTTATGTAATAAGATCAGAAGAGGAACCTGTTTATTGGTTATGTAAATTATTTGGCATGTTGATTAGTATCAATGAATGTTAGTAAGTTGCTGCCAAACTATCAAATGCATCAAAAACAATGTTCTAAAGCAAAGAAATGCCTGAAAACATGAATAAATCGAGGTCAACAAATTGTCAAAAGAGTATACAAATTAATTAAATATTAGTAAAAAAGTATCCAGCCTGTATAATTATAGATGTCGCAGCGATTTTCGTCAGTCAACGCCGCGTGTTTTATTACACTCGGCCTCGCCTCTGTTAATTATTTCTTTACGTTTTGTGAGAAAAAAACTTGACGCGTTAAAGCTTCAGATTTTGTGATAAAAATAACCTCCCCCTGTAAATTTAGTTTTTTATTGAACACCCCAGTTTATAATTAGCGCTTGCTCCGATGAAATGCAGTATTCAGTTTGATTTGCTTTGCTTGCGTTTAAAGTTGATTGCCGTATTTTATAAGTCAGTTATAACCTATAGGATTTATATTAGCAGTTCCAGTATTAGCAGATTTTTAGATTTTTTTTTTAAGCGGGGAAAATCATCGAATGGGAGTGTCAGACTCTTACTGACTAAAAACCACCCCGTTCCTTCTCCTGCACGTCGAGCCGGAGCCCCGGTTACCCGTTAGGTTCTCCGCGACAAATTTTTAGAATAGGTATGCATGGAATATGGGGCATAAGTTCTTGAACCAGTCGTGGTGCCCGGAGGTCGAAGACGCCTGCTTCTCATACACGAGGGTGCGGGTTCGAAACCTACCAACGGCAAGTACCAATGTGACTTTTTTCGAGTTATATGTATGTGCTTTCTAACAATATTTAGACACCACTGACCAACGGTGAAGGACAACATCGTGAGGAAACCTGAGCTTATAGTCTAATTATAAGTTTGAAATCTCCAACCCGCATTGAGCAAGCATGGTGATTAATGCTGTGACCTTCTCCGTGTGAGAAGAGGCTTTGCTCAGCAGTGGGCATTTATAAGCAGTTGATGATGAGGTTTTTGAACGAAGATTCTAAAAACAATGCTTCGAATTAGTTAAGTTAAATTAGTTTAAAGTGTTCTTAAATATAAATAAATAAAAAATAAAAATTATATTTTTGGGTCGATTGAAGTAAGAGATAAAATAGCTTTTTTTAAATCTGATGCAATATTTTATGTGCATCTAAAATTAAATCGACTGAATGCAGGTAACATATTAGAGACTCTCTTAAATTTTAAAGAACCTCTGAGCTGAGATAGGTGATATTAAACATCATTTTGGTTTTCATAAACCTGTCAGCGACACCTAACACAAGAAAGGGCTTTTAGGTGGTGAGTAACTCTAACAAACTCTTAGTTAAGAGATGGTTTGGAGGTGGTTGATGTCTCCTCTTGGGTCCACTACAAATGCAATGAGTTAACTGCACCTCTTTTTATAATCGAATGTTCAGTAATGGATATACATCGTATATCTTATACTGTTATATAAAGCGAAAGAGTTTGTTATTTTGTTTGTTTGTTTGAACGCGCTTATCTCCGCAACTACAAGTCTGATTTGAATGATTATTTTTGTGTTGGATAGCGCATTTATCGAGGATGGCTATAGGCTATAAAACATCACGCTACGTTTAATAGCAGCTGAGCAGAGCGTGTGAAACCGCGCGGAAGTAGCTAGTATATTATATCAAAAGCTGATGATGGTGATGACAATAAATAATAAAATATGTGATATGCAATATAATTCATGTATTTTAATCATACCGATATGTTCCAAAAACATTAACATAATTAAAGTTCTTTTCACGCAATGCACATATACTCTAGACTCGAAACCGCCTTCGGAACCTTTTACCACCGATTCCTTTGTTGGAAATCTTTTATCTGGTCCTTTTGACGCGCGACAAATAAAACGCATCGGGATTTTCATTGCGTCGCGAGTCGCTGTTGCCTCACCACCGATAATATGGTAACGGATCGTCCCTAAAAAAATAAAAGGTGTGACATTGACATGTCGACATGTTGGTAAATGAAAACGGGTCCATAGAATATTGCATGCATTCATATCGCGGCCGTATCGAAGGATCATAGTATTGTTCAGTCGCTAGATGTTTTGGTGTAAAGGAAATAGATGCGATGTTTATTAGGATTTTGTTTTGAAGTTTTTTTCCGGACCTCTTTTTATTCTGACTTTCTTGAAAAGAGGTCTTGTGTAAGACTCCTTGGTTAGATAACGTATTTTTGAAATTGGAATAGGTATAGCTTTCGAAAACAATTTTCCATATGGCCGTACCACCACGGATAAGGCCCAATAGGGCTGATGCCGATATTAGCCGCGGACTTAACGGGTAGCCGGGGCTCCGTCTCGAAGGGCTCCCGCCCTGGACCCAGGCGAAAGAAATCGTTCGATAATTTTCCCCCTTAAAAAAAAGGTATGGTCATAGGTTCACCTCCTTTAACATATAAACTCGAACATCTACTAAAAGCATGTTCTCTAGCTCAAAAATAAACTTATACAAAAAATAACATAAAGTAGACTATAGAAATAATAAAAAGTAAATTTTTCATCGCAGTATTTTACGTCAATTAAATGAAAGTGAAAAGTTCCACAAATATACACCCACTGTTCATTATACAAACAAATAAAAAATATCAATCACTCCTTAAAGTCGCAAAAAGAAACATCTATAATGAATATCTTGTGATGGATGGTGCTTGTACTAAATTCGATTAGGTACTAAAAATAAAGATTCATAGATACATAGGCATTAGATTAATTTGAATGTGTCTACAGGCAAAAAACATTAGAGCTAATTTGTCCAAATTAATTTCATATACTTTTTTATTGATCTTGGTTTAAGTAGTTTAGTCCTAATAGTATTTACTTTTTCGGCTCAACGATCCAAAATGGATCTCAGCCGAGACGATACGAGACTCCTCCATTGCACGTGTTAGAAGTTAGTACCAAAATAAATTAAAAAAAAAAAACAATAATTACAACAAAGAAATTTCATTTTTATTTATAAAAATAACCAAAAACTCAATAACTCACTAATAAGTAAAGCACAGTACTATTTATTACATAATTTTACACAAAACACAAAAGATTAACAAACAAAGAAAATACTTATCTGAATATAACAATATGTAGGTACTCAGAGTCAGATCTAACTGACAGGGGGCAGAGTAACGACACTGTTCACGTCTCAGGAGCAAAAAGGGTCCCGCACCGGCCGCTCCGCCTCTTTTATATCAAGTAGTAAACAACCTCGTCACTCCACCCCACCTCTGACTACCGATTGTGACGTAACACTGACACTTAATTTTTAAAATACAATAGACACAATTTGTACAAATAATTCTCGGATATTTTTAATCACATTTAAAAGTAATTAACCACCATATTTTCATACGTACTTATCACTTATTTTGATTAATAATTTGGGAACATCTCACACGGCCATTCTGAAAATTACTTCGCTCTCGAAGTAATCTTAAACTATTCTTCATCAGATGAGTCATTGTCTGTTAAAGCTGAAAAATAAAACATTAACCAATATTGAACTTGTCGTGATTGGTTCCACCATATGCTGGTTATAGTGTCTAAACCTTTCACCAAGTCAATTACTCCAGCAATGCAAACTCATATTTCATAACACTTCATTTCATAGGCTGGGCTGTCGTGATCAGTCCCACCATGTGCTGCATCATGGTGTCTAAACTTCACACCAGGCCACCTTCGCAGCACCCAATGATTTGTCATCAATGATCACAATGATACGACAACATCAACATCTCACATGGCCTTGTCATTCTTGTCGTGTTGGGTTTTGTATACCCTCCACCAAGTTGACATGTACCACATCTTACATCCATGTATATTCTTTATACTGGACTCACACACATACACATACACATATACTGACATACGTATCTTGTTAGTGAGCTCACTATATTAACACCAACAATTCATCTCTCAAAAATAAATAAAGAATATCATACCTTGTTCGGCTGTTTGGTTCTCTTCAGACCATTCGCCTTGCCACTTTCGCAGTTTTTCCTTTGCAATAACGATGTTGTGTAATCGACCTTGTCCACGTAATCGGTATCTGTCATTTTGGAGTATTTCCAAAATTTCATAAGGTCCTTTGAACTTGGGGCTAAGTTTGCTGTGGCGGCGATGATCTTGACAAACATAAACAATGTCTCCAATTTCATAATTTATATTATCTCGTCTTGTGGTATCGAATCGTGTTTTGTATTTGTCTGCTGCCGATTTCATTTTGTTATATGCCAGAACCCTATCAGCCCTAACATCAATTATTTGGTTTACATTAGACGGACCAGGTTCTGCTATATCAGCTAGTCGAGCCTGTATGCTGGGGATGTTTGAATCACGACCAATTAATAATCTTAAAGGTGAAAAGCCTGTTGTTTTTTGTATGGTTGTATTAAGTGTCTGCTGAACTTTATGTAATGAGTTCGGCCATTCTGTCTCATTATTGCACATAGTAGTTAGCATATTTATAATTGTAGCAACATATCGTTCGACTTGGCCATTACTACGCGGCGTACCAGTTGAAATCATATGGTGATCAACATTCCACTCTCGGAACAAGTCAGTTAGGGTAACATTGGAGAAATTTGTGGCTCTATCTGTAATAACTTTAGATGGGACTCCAAACATGGTTAAAGCATCGCGAATAACTATAGACATTTCCTCACCACTCATAGTTTTAAGAGGTTTAAGAATACAATATTTTGTGAAGGCGTCAATGATTATTATAATGTGCTTATAACCTTCATTGGACTGAGTAAAGGGGCCTGTGCAGTCTAGGTGTACTGTGTGAAATGGTATTGGCGTTTTATCAATGGGATGTAATAAACCTTGATGTGGACCACTGTGAAACTTTCCTTTAACACATACAAGGCAATGAGAAATATATTTTTTAACGAATCTGTTGATACCAGGAAACCAAAAAGACTCTTTTATCTTTTGTAAAGTCTTTTCTTGACCAACGTGACAGTTCTCATCATGGTACAAACGTAGGATACCGAGCCGACTTCCTTTAGGTACATATGCTTTCAGTTTGTGGTCTATTGGACACTTGTAGTATAACAGGTTATTTTTAAATACGTATTGATCATTACCAATATCACCGTTTTGTACTCTATCAATTAAACTTAGTGTTTCGGGATCTCTATGCTGAGCTACCTCTAACCAAGAAGTCTGTTCAGTTAACAAATTAATATTAAGAGGTGCTTCTAAGAATTTTAACTCTGAGGTAGTGGACGTAGTAGGATTCCTGCTTAAATAATCTACATGTCCAACATAAATACCTTTTTTATAAACCACCTCAAAATCAAAATCCTGCATGTAGTTCCACCACCGAGCGACCCTAGGAGATAGGTCCTTTTTGTACATAGTTGATTTAATCGCGTTGCAATCAGTTATAATTTTAAAACATATACCTAAAAGGTAAACACGAAAATTTTTCAAAGAGTTGTATACAGCAAGTGTCTCTAACTCGTATGAGGTGTATTTGGACTCTGGCTCGGTAGTGCGGCGACTAAAATATGCCACCACCCTATTATTTGTACCATGTTTTTGGAGGAGCATGCCACCGTATCCAATAGAACTTGCATCAGTGTGCAGCTCGGTTGGAAGCGAAGAATCGAAGATAGAGAGGATGGGTTCCGATGTCAACTTATCTATAATATATTGACGAGCGGCGTTTTGTTCATCACCCCATTCCCAATTCTGTCCGTTTTTAGTTAGCTTAGTTATACAAGCTGTTTTAGACGCAAACTCAGGTATAAATTTTCTGAAATAGCTTGCCAAGCCCATAAATTGTCTAACCTGCTTAACAGTTTTGGGGACGGGAGATTTGACCAAAGCTTTAACTTTTGTTTCACTGGGTCGCACACCTTCAGCCGAAATAATCCAGCCTAAATATTCTATAGATGTTACAAAAAACCGACATTTCTTCAAGTTAATTGTAAATCCGGCCTTAACAAGTGCTGCCAAGCATAAATCCAGATACTCCAGACCCTGTTCAATAGTTTCGCACGGCAAAAGTAGGTCGTCTATGTAAACCCTAACAAACTTTAAATCTTTAACTGCTTTAGATATGGCGCGTTGAAATACTGCGGGGCCATTGCATATCCCAAAGGGCATTTTTATATATTCGTAGTGCCCGTCAGGGGTCACGAAAGCTGTATATTTGATGCTATTTTCGGAAATCGGTATTTGATGGAATCCGTTTTTCATATCTATTGCTATAAAATACTTTGCCTTACCTAATTGATCAATTTCGTCTTGAATCAAGGGCAACGGATACCTTTCTTTTTCAATTATAGAATTGAGTGCCCTATAATCCACACACATGCGATCACCGCCGTCACGCTTCTTTACCAATAATACGGGACTCGCGTATGACGAATCACTATCACGGATGATGCCAGTTCGCAAAAGGTCACTTACTATATTCTTTACTTTTTCACGTTCTAACGGCGCTAAACGATAAGGACGATAGTTAATATTTTTATCTGTTTTTAATTTTATTTCCAATTTACCCGTATTAACATTTCCAATATAATGTTCAGTGGGTAGTATTCGAGGGTATTTATCAAAAATTGTTATAATTTTATCTTGCAATTTTTTACCTAGATTTTGAACACTTTCCGAAAGCAAATTTTGATTATTCTCTAAATTATTCTTACTTAAATTAACTATATTTTTACGTACTAATTTTGTACCAGACGTGTCCGTAATTATGGCAATATCTGCGTATTTGACAACATCTTGTCCTATTATACAATCATAAACAAAATCATTTGACACTACGTTTAATTCTAATTCAATGCAGACGTCACTAAAACGAACAGGTACTGTTATTCTACCAAAAGTATTTACGTGACCCGAACCTATACCATCCAAACGTACAGTCCAAGGGAAAACGTGACAGCCCGACCGGAATGCTGCCCTACTAATTGTACTTGCAGTAATCGACATTTTTGAGATTTTCACTTTTTTGCAAAAATGACATCCTAAGGATATTTTCTATACGTAAAAAATATATTTAAAACATTTTTTTTATATAAACCATATTTTTTACGTAACATGAAACGCAGTACTTGCACCTAAATGTTACTTTTGCTAAAAAGATCTGCAGCATTAAGCATATGGTACAAAATTATGCAGTACTTGCTACGTTTACTGTACATACTTTTAGTATTTAACTTTTTACATCGAATACTAGCTAAAGCCAAACGCAGTAGTCACCATTACTGCATTTGAATGTAGCAAAAATAAAAAAAAGCTACTCTTGCGATGCTAAGCCTAAACGCAGTATTCTACAGTACTGCGTTTAGAGTGTGAAAGAGTGAGAGCGAGCTATGCATTACGAATGTCGTACGGTATAGTGCCGCGTTTCGCTCTAGCAAATCAGTGCGTCGACGTCACTCGCGGACGGGACAGTGTGCTCCGCGTGGTTGTACTTTGTCAAATGCCCCAGGATTTCGGTAAGTTTTATTCATTGTCTTTATGTATAATTAATACTCGTTTGTCGTGGGTTTGTTATAACATACTCGTTTAACGTATTTTAACGGCACGTGTTTGTAATTCTAAGATTTTCAATTAGTAAATTTTAGGTTACAAATGCACCGTCGGCAACAAATGTGTTTACCCACAAATAATGTGGGTCCCACATTATTAATGGATTCATTCGCAAAATAGGGTAGGCAATTCTTCAGGTCATAGTTCGGATTGTTGTCTAAAGTCCGGCCTATTTGATTATGTGAATTATTCGTATTAAGTATAAATCGTGTTTGTTTGTGATGACGAATGTATCAGCATTAGTGTTAATTTTTATTTAAGTCGAACATTCGACCATCGTATTATCATAAGTGTCACGTAAATAATATAGGTATAAATGATGACTATAAAATATGAATGGATGTAGAAGACTATACCTACAGGATGAATGTTGTGTGAAGCAATGTGTGGAAATAATCAAATAATCGTCTCAGTAATGATGGAATGAGAATGACATACTATTATTGCATACGAAGTATGTGTGTATGTGTGTATGCATACGTGCGTGTATACGTGTGTGTGTCTGCGTGTGTCTGCTGAAGTGTGTGCGTGTGTGACTGCTGAAGTGCGTGCGTGTGCGTGTGTTTACGTGTGTATGCGTTTGTGTGTATGTGTATCATCATGCATATCCATGGATAAGCATGATTGTGTGTGCTTTTTTGTGATTGATTGTGAGTTCTCCAATATCTTTGCAAATATTTAGACATGAATATATGTATTCAACCTTATTCTTATGGCGATAAAGTGATATGTTTGAAATAAAAAATGCATAGATATTGGAAAACTCGACTGGACCTAAGTATGTGTTAGTGAATGTGCCTGTGAATAGGCCCATATTATTTGATTCAACAGTGTTGAACCTGTTTTCTTTTATTTCAGATCATTTTAACCAAAATGTCTTCAAATACTCGAGGCAGAAACCTGGTACAAATGGTGGTTGACATGCCAAACCAATCTAAAGATACACCTGATTCTGTGATTCCACAAAATACGTCAAAAACGGCAAAAACTACTAAAACAGATCCGGTCTGTAATATTCATAATTTTAGCGGCCTTTATGCGCATGAGTTTAGTTACGATAACTATAGCAAGATACTGACGCCAAAAGTAGAATATGCGTCTACATTGAATATGACCCAAACTGATTTACAGAAACAACTAGATTTATTAAACAGAGAATATGATTTTTACGAAACAGCAGATGATTCTATAAGTTTGCTGTGTAATGAAACAATGCCGAGCTCAGTAATGAACGTGACTTTGGTAGATATAACAATGGAATTAGAAGAAATTTGTGCAGATACAATTTTTGCAAGTGAAATAAAAAATGTAAGTGTGGAAAATACGTATGTGACGAATGATGCAAATAATGAAACTAAAGAAACCATGGATGAGTCAAAAAATGAAACTGAAGGAAACATGGATAAGGCAACGAATGAAATTGAAGGGATTGTGGATGTAAATTATGAGATAGCAGTAAACATGAATGAGGCAAATACGGTTAATGATGTTCAAGAACTTCAGGAAAATTATGCTGTCGATGAAATAAATAGAAATACCGGTGAAGGTAATAAAGGAATAACAAAAAGTGGAAAACCGAGACTCAGACGTAAATATGAACAATCTCTGGATACAAGGAATAAAAACAAAAAAATGTTGAAATTAGAGAAAATGAGTGTAAAGCCTGGATGCAACAATGAAAATTGCAGAAAAAAATGTTCTTCTTTTACAGAATATGAACGAGAAAACATAAACAAATTATTTTGGGAACAAGGATATGAAGCTCAAGGAATGTATATCAAGTCACTAGTTATAGCTAAAGAAGTTAATAGACGTATGAAAGAAAGCAGGCAGATGCGGAAAAAAACATATTCATATTTTTTGGAAACCAATAACGAAAAAAAAGAAGTTTGTAAAATTTTCTTTCTGACAACTTTAGGATATGCTAAAAAAAATGATAGACGTATATTAGACATTCTTAAAAAGCCTTTAAATGCTCAAGCAGACAAGCGTAATAAACAAGATCATCCAAAGAAAGTAAATAGAGAGCAGCTTAAAGAACACATTGAGAGCTTTAGACCTGCTATTGCTCACTACAGACGAGTACATGCACCTAATCGAAGATATCTGCCAAGCGACATAAACGTAACTGTTATGTATAATGATTTTAAAACAAAGAATCCAAATGTTAAAATATCTTATGAACTTTACCGAAAGTTTTTAAAAAAAGACATGAACATATCGTTCACTCAATTGGGCAACGAAGAATGCGAGTTATGCGAGAGCTACAAACTTCATAAGGCAACCTGCAAAGATACTGAGGAGTGCAGAGAGTGTGCATCGTATCATAGCCACTCCATGAAATACCAAATGGCTAGATCTCATTACCAACAAGACGCCGAGCTATCAAAAAACGGAGGAGATTCTTCCAAAGTCTATTTTTCAGCAGACCTACAAAAAGTGGTGCTATTGCCTAGGTTAGATATGTTTAAGGTTGCCATGTTCTGCCCCAGGATCATAGCTTTCAATGAAAGCTTTGTACCCGTGGGAGGCTCAAAGAAAGAAAAACCTTATGCAGTGTTGTGGCATGAAGCTATATCTGGAAGGAAGAAGGAAGATATAATAAGTGCTTATAGAGCATTTTTCGAAAGCAAACGCGACTGCACTGAAATTACCATTTGGACCGATAATTGCACTGGTCAAAACAAAAACTGGGCATTTTTTTCATTTTTAGTACAGATTGTCAATAGCTCAGATATCGCTACAACAAAAAT